AAAAAAAAAAAGAATAAGAGTCCTTACAAAATGAATACTTTATGTTCAGGACTTGAAAAACTATTCTCATTCTTTTGCGATGGAAATGTAGTCCAAGAAGAGAGGCGAAGTAAGCAAAGGAGTTGGTGAAGGAGAGGATGTGGCAGTTGGTAGAGTTCCTGCAATCCTCTTGCCTTGGTGTGACTTGCTGGCCATGCTGACTCAACTTTCCATACTAGAGGGATGAGACATCCTGTTTACATGGTACAGAGCCCAAGCTCCATGACACACGAAACTGTGAGAACACAAGATACATGAATTCTCTGTGTATTAGTGATCTAATTTATGGTAACCGTTTGTCAAATTAAAAATGGAAATTTTAGGGCAGCGCCTGTGGCTCAAAGGAGTAGGGCGCTGGCCTCATATGCCGGATGTGGTGGGTTCAAACCCAGCCCTGGCCAAAAACTGCAAAAAAAAAAAAAAAAGGAAATTTTAAAAGTGATTGTCTTGGGAGGTGCCTGTAGCTCAAAGGAGTAGGGCGCTGGCCCCATATGCCAGAGGTGGCAGGTTCAAACTCATCCTTGGTCAAAAAGAAAAAAAAAGTGATTGTCTTTATTTAACGGTGGTTAAAATTTTGGAGGGATCCTTTAAAAGGATCAACTTTTGACAGCGGTTGTTTCTTTTATCTCAGACATAACTTGAAATGTTTTAACCTGATGCCTGTTCCCACCTTCTTCCTATGACCAGTCAAATTATTTTCTAAGGTAAGTGCTCTTCAACATGAAATTCAAGGACATAAAGACTCTCAGCTGGATGGCGTCTGTCTATAATTTTCTTTCTGGAGTTTGAGCCTCTTCAGAGCTACAATCTCTGTGATAGCTGCCTCTTCAGTTTTTCCCCTTAGCCATGACTAAATCAGTTTGGAAGGAAAAAAAAAACTCTCTCCAAAAACAAAAATACACCAAACAAAGTAGCTTTTTTATTTACAACAAGTTCTCAAGATAAAAAGGAAAGCACTAAGAAAGATGAAGAGATGTACATGACCTCCAAAGCAGATTTAGGCCTACTCAAAGATGTGGAAAGCCAAATATAGCTAGACAGCTCCCTAATGGCTTTCTAACTTAGGTGGCTCATTATTTCTTTTGAATTGAAAACCCAACTCAAATTATCTGTTCAAAATGCAGCATAGTATCATAGCTGATGGTAGCATGACACCTTAATACTTTTGGTTACCTCAGTTAGGGAGGGAGGATGCAGGAAATGAAGACAACCAGCAAGTCCCTGGACCGAGAATGGGGGCAGCCAAGTCACTCTGTTCCTTCCACCTCAACTCTCACATCCAGCTCCACCAGCCTCCTTTTTCTGTCCAGAAGTCCAATTCTAATATTCCATCTTCTCACAAATGTTCACCAATCTCTCAAGCAGAACCGACTTTCTAAAACCTTATGTCATCATTGTACTTGGTACCTCTCTCCATTATAGGTTTTATTACATGCAATTAAATGTAAATACTCATGAATGTGTTACTCGAAAAGGGATGACCTCTTATTGGCCAGAGTATCCCTGTCCTCTGGAACAGAGCCGGGCACGTGAATAGGATTCAGTACATATTTATGGTAGAAAAGAATCAGTAAATAACTACTAACTGAGTAAGGCTATAGAGAGGGAAGGCTAGAGAACCCACCCGATGCCAGAGTTCTGGAAACAGAGGTAAGTAAAATGGGTAGGTAGTACCCGTTTGGGGCATTATAGCAAGGTTGATGCATAGATTTCAAATCTAGCTTTGGAGAAGCTAAAAGACCTTGTAATTATCTTTAAAGCCAAACTAAGTTAAAACATGACAACCCCCTTCCCCCCACAAAATCCTGCAGTGCTAGAAATCCAGTAAAACAAATATGCAATAGCTGAGGGATTATTTTTATCCTTTAAAGTTATTTAAAATGTTTTGTTCTTTGGAAAGCTTAAAAAAGATCAGCTCATAAAACCTATGCTTTGGGGGAAAAAAGGATGAAATGAAAGTAGTGTTAATTAATATTATAAGCTGATGTGAAATAGGCTATAAATTTACCAGGATGTAAGAATATTATATAAACACAATTATTTTAACAATCTTCTTTGTGATCTGAAAATCATTAAATGCAAATTGTAGTTTTAAAACAAATTAGTGGGCTCTAATTCTATTGCTCATAGATACTAAATTTATGTAACTTTGTAATCCTCACTTGGAAGTCTTTACAGATCCCAGTATATAGAGGCATTTTCCTTTGTCAGTAACACTGGGAAAGCTGGAGGGGAACAAAAGGGGCCACAAAGTCTGCCTTCCAGGTAGAATAAAGGCAGAAAGTTAATTTAAAAAGCAACACTGGAGGCCAGGTGCAGTTGCTGAGGCCTATAATCCTAGCATTCTGGAAGGCTGAGGGAGGAGGACTGCTTGAGGCCAGGATTTGGAGACCAGCCTGAGCAAGGGCAAGACCTCATCTCTACTAAAGATAGAAAAATTAGCTGGGCAAGGTAGTGCATGCCTATAGTCCCAGCTGTGTGAGAGGCCTGAGGCAGGAAGATCACTTGAGCCTAGAAGTTCGAGGCTGCAGTGAGGTATGATGACACTATTGCATTCTAGCAGGAACAACAAGCAAGACTCTATCTCAAGAAAAAAAAACCAAAACACCTACTACTGGGATCAACTTCCTCTTTATAGAATTTAAATACAGTAGAACCTCTGTAAGTTGACCACTCAAAGGACTACTAACAAACTGGTCAACATAAAGAACTAGGCCTACTATACTGACACATACATGTGATACCTGTCTGATTTATGAAAATTAGGTCAACTTAAGGGAGGTGGTCAACTATGGAGGTTCTACTGTATTATAAAATGAGTTTTTAAGCTCTATTCTAATAAATTACTCAAACCACATTCTTCTTTAAAAGCATCATCTTATACATAATTTTTGATGTAATGGAGAAAAGCCACTTGTATTAATCACTAAAAAGGAAAAACAGAAAATATTTTGATGTAGTACAAAACATGAAAAACGAATAAATTAAAATTTATTAGTATGTATTTAGGTATCTTAAATCCTATCTATCTAAAAATTGAAGTCTAATTGTATGGGTGCTGTTCTATTAATTCACTCCATTTATTCCCTGTGATTGGATCAATAGAAGTTGTACTGCAGTCCTCATAAACAACAGCTTGTTCATCCAAAAAAAGACATGAGGAATATCTTTGTGTATGGAGATTACTTTCCATTTGACATAGAAACTTACGGTATTTTATAAATGCAAATCTGTCAAAACAGATGAATGCCACGTTGTAAAGCTTAACAATTAATTTGCCCTAAGACTCTGGGCAAAGAATTGTCAGCAATGGGGAATGGTGAGGAGAGGAAAAAATGTTCCAGTGGGGATAAACAAGTATAGGGCTCAGAGGCCAGAGGCGAGAAGCTATGAAGAACATTGCCTTTCAGCATGGCTAGAATTCTGAGCAAGGCAGAGGGTTGAAGACAGACACTGCTCGAGTTTTAACTGTAGTACTACTGACCTTTTGGACCAGACAGTTCTTTGTGGGAACTTGCCTTATGCACTGTGGGATATGTGGCAGCATCCTTGGCCTCTACTCACTAGATGGCAGTAGCAGCATCCCAGTTACGACAGCCAACAAAGTGTTGCCATGTATCTTTGGGGACCGGGTGATTTGCCTCTAGTTGAAAACCAACAAATTAAAGAATA